AGATGAACTTAAAACAGTAGTGAAATAACTAATGCTTTCTTGAGTTGTTGATGTCTTGTTTGCATGCCCACCTCACCTACCATAGGTCGGGTGACCATGTAATGTGGGAAACACTTCAGAGAGGGAGTGGGGCACACAACTAATAATTATGTCAGTACAACTAGAACTAGCTCAGGATGTAAAGTCACTCTCAGGATGGGGGAAAAGGAGTGGAGGTGAGGTAGTCCCATATTCCACATGTCTGAAGCTGGGCATAAGGGGAAAGAAAAGACAGATTTTTTTCTTACATCATGCTGGAGGAGCAGCCAAATGGAGAATTACAAAGTATCTTGAACCAAAGTAGCATCTGACCAGGTCTTACTTCCTGTGTTGGCTCATAAAATAAATGGGAAGGTACACAAAGTTTCTTACTGACTCCCTTCTGTTGCCATTTACAAAGCCAGCATGCCACTGTTTTATATTCAACAGTGGCCCTTCTCTTCTCAGGAATCCTCATTACTTTTCCTTCCCCACCACGTCCACATGAAAACACCCGTAGGGCATCCTAAGTACCTCAACCGTCTGTTTGCAGCAAAATTACTCACCCACTGATTCCAATGACAAATGTTTTCATAATTAGCTTTGAAAATCACGTCTTCCTAAAATTAAAAAAAATCGAATGCTTATCATTTAGATGTCTAAAAAGGTAAAAGAAAGAGTCCTGAATTAGGAGAGCCAGCTGAGGGGGAAAGATGACCATGATCTCTGGGTTACCCCACCCCTAGATTACCCACAGTCAGCACAAGAGCTTCACACTCCAGGGGCTTCTCTCTGCCACGCTCCACTAAGTGCCAAGAGCTGGTGTGTGCTCTGAGCCTGTACGCTGAAGTCAAGTGAACTGAAAGGCCCCTGTGACCAAGCGTTGACCTTGAAGGTCTGTTTTCAAGGGCATAGAAGAATTGCAGGCCACAGAGCACACCAGAGTCTCATACTTTCTTAGCTAGGCTGCCTTTTACCAGTAGGATTCGATCACCTGGAGATGACCCACTACCCCCATGGCAGGAAACCAGCACAGCTTGCTCTCTCCTTTCCCTTCCGAAATGGGGAGAAAGTCACTGCTGACCAGACACACAAGGAAGTTAGTTCCCTTTAAGGGTGCTCTGTCTTTACCCAAAAGGCAAAGTCTAGGGTGAGGGTAGACAACCTTTTTCAGAAATGGGCCAGGTAGTAAATATTTGAGGCTTTGTGAGCCAAGACGTAGAATCAAGGTCATTATGTAGGTACTTACATAACAAGAGAGAAAACACATTTCCACAACTTTTTTGATGAAAGTCAATACATAATAATAATAAAGTACAATCTTTTTCTTTTTGATAATACATGTCTACTAATGAGAAGACTGGAATTTCTTTTTTATTGGGATAATATTCCTCTTACTGGATTTCAGAGTGTTCCTTATCAGGAAACTGCAAATGTTCAGGTGGAGGTCAGGTTTTGGCCACAGACCATGGCTCTGTGACCCCTGGCCTTAGGGGTGGAGGGTAGTCTCACACATGGCCCCCGAAGTTCACTAAGCATCCTGTGGATACTCCAGTGATCCATTTTCACCTCCTGAAGTGAAAAGGTGAAGCTAGGCTGGAGGGAGCCTTAGAGCGGTGGTTCCTGACGTGGCCTGGACTGATGATGCTCTTGGCTGGGTGATCAGGGACCTAGGCTGGGCCACCCAGGGTGAGTGGCTCCTGAGCTGGAGGCTCCCAGCAACCTCCTGAGTCCTATCCCCGACTTGTGTCCAGGCTCAATGAGGGGCACATGGTGGGAAGAGCCTGGTGAAGAGAGCTGTTGTTCTTTGGCTTCTTCTCAGTTTATCCAGAATATTCCAAATTGAGAGCTAATTGCTTAAGGGTGGTTCCACTCTCATGAACAAACCTACATGAGACAAGAATTCAATGGTTGTGATAATAATAAAACAGAAGAAGCTGGACATCTGAATTTCACCTGGAGTTGCACTGTTGAATATATACCTCCCCCCAAATTGCTGAAGTGTATCAAAGGAATATTACTATTACTATGTCAGGGCAAGGCTGCCAGCTCTACATTTTGGAAAGGAAAAAGCTGCCTTTCATTCTGAGATGGTATCTTCTTTACTTTTTTGGTGGTAAATGTCTTTCCTCTTATGAAATTATGTTGGCAATAGATGGTAGTAGATCGATATCCTCCCCAGGCTAAAATTTAAAAAAATGATACAATTCTGCCATTTCTTGCCACCTTGCTTAAGTTTAGATAGTTTGTGAGACCATAAACTCAGCCTCAGAGATCATAGTCCACCCCTCATTTCGCAGAAATCAAAATGGCCCAGACAATGAACTGACATGCCCTAGGTCACACAGCTAGTAAGTAGGAAAGCCAGATATGAAACTAAACCTAGTGAGTTAACTTCTTCCCTTTTTGTACACTGCTAAAAAGCACTTTACTACCGAGAGCAAAGAAAGGATGTTGCACATGTGCTGGCTGAATTGTAAGGCTCACATGTATAATTGATGGCATTTTTATTGATGTATTATTGATGGGGTATATATTTGCTAAGTACACTGAATGGCAAGGACTATGGGTCCCCCTGCCTCTTGCCACATCTGTGCATACACATGAGGATGCTGTATCAATTACATAACATGTAAACAGCAAGTAAGAGTGCTTAAAGCACTGGAAATAAGCTTGAGGGGGTTATTTATGTGGAAACTCTACCAATTAAGAAGTCAGGAGTGAGGAAGAGTCAAGAAACTACTTATAAAATCTCCTGAGCTCTGGAGAGAACTCCCACAGTCAAATGCAAACTTTACAGAAACAAGAACCCTCAGTTCTATGTAGGTTACTGGTTTTAGCCTGTCCAAAACAGTGTTTGGGTAAATGCTGGACAGTCCTTGAGCAATGAACAGGTGATAATGTGGTGGCAGGGGTGGGGAACTGGGAGAGGCACAAGCAAGATGTGTGGCTGGGCTGAGGATGGGCGAAGCAATAAATACCAAAGGTCAGTTATTTCAAAGCCAGTACTGGATGTAGGCAGCAGCTTCAGGTGAACTCTAGGTTCACTCCTGGCATTGCCCACCTCCATACCATGTTCTGTTATTTCACTGCCTGTTGTTTTAAGAATGAGTTTAAAATCACATTTAAAACACTTGCAATCAAGAGCTGCCAGGCTCTAAATGTATACGGCAGCATGAAGCAAATACAAGCTTACTCAACCACAATGTGTACTACTTCACTGGACTTTCCATCCTCATCAATCCAGAGCATCCAATTACTAGGAATATATACCACTTCAAATCTCATGGGATATTTCTGTATTTTATTTTCCCAATACCTGTAAAGAGGGTATGCACAGGGGGAGGAGAATTGACTAAGGCAGCCCAGAGCACACCCAAAATGAGTCATTTTAACTTTTTTTAAATACTGTTTTTACCCTAAGAAAAATACGTTGTTCAGTCCTGTCTTCATAACTGGTGTGTGTTTACTTGTTTCAGTACTAAACATGTACGCTCTGAATTCTAAACTGCAAAAATGGTCAGAGGTGGCATGTGCAGAATATTACAAGGACAGCAACTCCCTAATATGAATGGATGACAACATGCTAATGAAATGTGCTTTCCAATGTGCCTAAAGACCACTCTGATATTTTTTAAAGAGTGAAGTTTTTCAGGGCTTCCCAGTCATTTATTTTATTCAACAGATATTATGAGAATCTTCTCCCACACCACCGTGAAGACTTTTCCTACTATTATTTAAACTTTGTTCCCTTTTGGCAACCAGAAATCTCCCAAGGCTGGAGTTTCTGAATATGCCATGAATATGAAGGGAATGGTCCCTTCCCATGGGATCATTTTATCTTTCACCAACCCCTAGCAGAAACTTAAAAGCTGCATTTTCTAAAACCCAGGTTCTCATGTAAAGGTTTTTCTTTCCAGTTTTTTTCCCCATATAATTGGCTCATGCTATTGACTCCTGCTATTTTGAATTTACGCACACTGCATTTCTTGCATGCTCCAGCCCTCATGTTCCACTGGAGATTCAATCGGCTAGATCAAGGGTTGGCAAACTTCTGTAAACTGCCGGATAAAAAAATGTTTTTGGCTTTGCTGGCAGCTGCTCAGCTCTGCTGTTGCCAAGTAAAAGCAGCCACAGACAAATACATAGGCAGATGAGCGTGCTAGTGTTCTAACACAATTTTATGGGCGCTGAAATTGGAGTTTTATATAATTTGCCCGTGTCACAAAAGCTTCTTTCGATTTCTTTCAGCTACTGAAAAACGTCAAAACCATTCTCAATGACCAGGCCGTGCAGTAAGAGCAGGCCCGCACAGCCAACCCCTATGCTAGAGGAGTAGCTCGATGGGAGACCCCCATTCTCAGGATCACTACGGGCGTTAAAGCACTGCGCCACCACCAGTGCACGTCCTCTGTGGCAGGCTGTGTGTCAGCCCGTTAGGGTGGTAAGGGTCCCACAGGGCTTGCAGGTCGTCACCATGCTCGGGCTCCAGCGCAGGAACACTCTGGAAACTCCTCCGGGCACCAGCGGGGAGTCAGGGAGGTACTCACCGGGGGCCAATTCCAAGTCCTCCAGGCAGAGGCGAGGGCCCGGCGTGCGCCTGTCACACACCGCCGCACCCGAGACGCCCGCAATCTCTTCCTCCTCGCCCCTGCCCGGTCACAGGCGATCCGGAAGAGGTCGTCAACCCAGGCCTCTGTCCCACGCGGGCCGGGCGCGCGGCTTGGCTCCTGCCCCCGTGGGGCGGGGCAGGACTGCGGCGAGAGCGCCTCCGTGCGCGCGCGCCCCTGCCGGGTCCGGCCCCTGCTTGTCGCGGGCGCGCGCGGCTGGGTTAGTCCCGGCGCGAGCTCGCGGCGGTGCCTTCCCCCGGCTCGCGCTGGTTCCGCCGCCGCGCGCGCCGCCGTGCGCGCCGAAGCTGCCAGCCCGGGAGCCAATTAGCGCTCGGCCAGGCGGCTGCCACTTCCTCGTCGGCGGGGCGGCGCGCCCCAGACCTCTCCGGGGGCCGTGGGGCGGGGCGGAGCGGAGCGCTGCGCGGAGCGACTCTCTGCGTCTGCGGGTCCGACAGCCGAGGGTGGGCGCGGGTCCTAGGAGGCATCCCGCTGCGAGCCAGACAGAAAGAAACTTTAGGGCCCCGCGAGTGCCGGCTGGCTGGGCGATCGGCCGACTTTTCGTGCCTGGTCTTCACGAATAACAGCTCCAGGAAGCGAGATGTCGAAGCCGCCACCCAAACCGGTCAAACCAGGTAAGGGAGGCGCTTGCCGAGTCCCTTGGCCGCTCGGGCGCCCTGCGCTTCCTCTGCCACTTAGCAGGGCAGAGCGGGCACGAATACGGCCCCGTGGTTTGCTTTCAGGGTCCGACCCACCGGGATGGGTGGCTTTGTTACGTTCGGTATCGGGAAGGGATGGTTTTAGATAGCAGGAGGATTTTAAGTATTTAAAACAGTATTTTTAAGGGGGAAGTCTCCCTCCGTTTTGCAACATTGCCATTCGCTGCAACTTTGCGGCGGGTGTGAGGGTGTGAAGGCTGCGTCCCACTGAAGCTTATCTTGAAGACAAGGCCACTAATCTCCCTTTAAAAAAAATAAACTAAATATGCCTTGAAATGGTCTTTTAACCACTTCCTCTTTTTTTTTAATTTTTTATCAGTGTGTGTCACTGTCAAGTTAAAAGTTATTGACCGTTCAGAGCGAACGGGAAGTGCGCTGCTTGCAGGGTGGGGTTGGGTGAGCGAGTCTCCTTTGGTACTTCTGAGAGGAGCAGCTTTTGAAACTGACCTCGGGATGCTGGGAAAAGCATTTAGAAAACTGTACTCGAGCTGTGGCGAGAAGCAGCTAGGCTGCGGCAGAATAATCTCGGCTGTCGCGATTGGGAGGTGTCACCTTATCAGGCAACACAAGTCCTTTGCTCCAACTACCGCCGTGAATTTGGCGTGCTGAACTGGAGAGGTTGAGATGATTAAGTTCCTCAAAGCCGTTTTCTTGGTCAATTGTTCTTGTTCTTTGTGACTCTATTTAGTATTACAGTTTCTGTGAAATGGAGAAATGAGAAATTAAAAGGGACTAACGAAGTTCAATGCAATGCTGTAACAAACTTGCTGTAACAAACAATGCTGTAACAAGCCAAATTCATTTGGTAGGTCTTCACAGGAAAACTTCATAGGAAATGGAAGATGAGTTGCTCTGATAATACTCAGGTTTTTTTCTTCCAGTCTCACGTAACTTCAATATAGCATAGGCTGAAATTTATCCATTTACACCAAATTTCGAAGTAACCGTGGTTGCAGGGGGTGGCGTTTCAGTGATTCATTTTTTTTCTTGTTTTTTTAAAACTTCAGTCAAGCAGTACAGTTTTCATGATTATCCAGTTTCCTTTCTTTGTCATTATATAATGGCAGTTTCAAGTCATTTTATTTGAAAATTATGTGCATACCTGCATTTATGGCATAGTTGTTCACTGAGCGCTTAAATTTTGGTGGGCTGGACCTGAAGTTGCTGGGACTTTGGTTCTGCTGTGAGCAAAGAAGAGGCATGGCTACTAGCACTGGGCTCAGTGCTGCTTTAGATGAGGAATCTTGCATGAGAAATTTGCATTTTAAGTGCTCATGTAGGAGGTGGCAGCTGTCTAAAAGTGGATGTAAATCAGGACCTGAAGTGTCCAACAAAGCAGAGTTGTTCTTTGAGAGCTAAACAAAGTGCTTTATTTTAAAGAATGTCTCTAGAAGCTGTTCATGAGATTTTTTTCATCTCTCTAGACATTAAGTGATGTTTGTGCTACAGCCGAAGGAGCATTTACAGCCATGTGTATGTGTGCACGCGTGTGTATGTCAGTACTCATGCACATATGGGTTGTGGTTTAGGGATCATATTGTTACCAGTTAGAGATACACTCTCAGGAACCATTTTTGTTGTCGGACACCACTCCTTTCTCCTTAAATCAGAAAGCAAGTGGTTGAAGGTGATTGCTGTTTACAGAGAGCTTTCACTCCACATTGATTTATAACAGATCCGAACTCAATTAAGGTCACTGTAGAAATCAGTTTGTTAGTTTACTATTTACAGTGAGAAATACTACTTTCAATCAGACTTGAAACTTTGTGTTACCTGGCTTAATTTCAAGCAGAACTGGCCTATTATAGTACTGGCCCACATTATCTGTGTACCAGGCACGGATCTAATCAATTTACATGTATTAACTCATTTGCTTCTCATAACCCCATGAGGTCAGTACCATTATTGGTCCCATTGCGCAGGTGGGGAAATGAAGGCAAGACACAGAAAGGTTAAGTTAACTTGCCCAAGGTCAGCAGCTGGGTGGGGAGGGGGTTGGGAGGAGGGGTGAGGATTAGAACCTAGGTAGCCTGGCTCTAGAGTCTGGGCTCTTAATCGTACTTCACATGCGTAGTCCTGTGTATTTTAGAGCTGGTGGACAGGAAGTGGAAAGGAAAGTGCCTCTGGTCCTCAGTAAGACTTTCTTGTCCTAAGTGCACATAAAGGTCACCGCCTTGGTTGGTGGGTCATGCTGAGCTTTACTTTCCTATTTTGGAGGCAAGCTACTTGGGTAAAAATGTCTACAGCAAGCTTGGAATTGAGGGTAGGAGGTTGCATTTAATTTTTGATTCTTGGTTTGTGTATACCCTGCATCATCACAAATTAGAGTAAAGAATAAAGAATAAGGTAAAGAAAGCAGGATCATTATAGAGGGAGGGAAGAATAAGAGAAAACCAAAGGAAAAGAGCTTATAGACACACCTGTCCTAAACTCCTCTAGAGTTTCTGAAGAAGGGCTGTAGATTTGGTTCTTAGCTTCAAGCAAAGAGATAAAAGATCAATGACAAGATTTTTAGTGTTCATAAAATTAAAATATTTTACTTGCTCTGAGAAGAGTTATTTTAATAGCCCTGAGATCTGACACTCCTCCCATGAGTTCACTTAGTGTTGGAGTGGACTGAACATCTCTATGAGAAACACAGTTGGGAAATCATGGGGCAGTCACTGTAGCTTCCTGCTGAGCAAGATGTGGGCAAGTGGCATGGCTCAATTCCATAAAGGAGAGATGCTAGGCAGGGAAGACAAAGGACTTACTGGAAGATTTTAGTAGCAAGAGACATTAAGCTATCCTGTGGGCTAAGGTACCTATCAAGATGATTGGCATACACCCCATAAAAGTAAGCACTTTACTCTTAATACATGCAGCTAATATTTTAGGCCCTGTGCTAGACATTGGGGTTTCAAGGGAAAATCAAATAAGGTCTTGTCTGTGAAGGTTTTGATGGGGGAGGTTTGGGTGTCTACAGAGAATGTCTTAGATTGGCCTAGATCCACAACTGGATGTCTTACCGATTATGTTTTAAAAAAGTCTTGTAATTAAAAATAAAAGCCATATATATTTAAAATAGAAAATTTAGGAAATGCAGTACAGAAAAACAATAAATAAAAATATAAACCTCATCCCTATTTATCTAAGGATAACCACTATTTTCTCTCATTTTTTTCAAACAAATTTCATTTAAAAAAGAAAATACAAGCAATTATCCTTAGAATTGTGTCTCACTGTCAGTTGTAAGTGACTTGCTGTTGGCTGGTATATGTTTCCTACAGTCTTTATATAGTACTGCCTACGCTCTGCTTGAAAAATCAGGTCTGTCACATTTAGACCTTTCCTTGCTGGCTGATTTTTTTTCTGGAGGATCACTTTTGGCCACTCAATGTCTGCCTTTGAAAACTCTCCTCTCCAGTTGCTGAATATACCACCATGGTCCATACTCAGTCGCTAAAATGTGCCACAATGTCATGGTCTTCAGCTCATTTCTTTAAGCAGTTCAATTAGGTTTGAACCTACCTTATCAGACAACTTGTATTCTCACAAAGACTATATAAAAAGATATCTTATTCTAAGACTTGATGTAAAGATGGGCCAAAGGATATCGAATGAGATTTAGACTAGAATCATCTATCTCATTCTAAGCACATTTAATAACCCTATGCTATAACTGGAAAACTGATGTCTGACCTTGACCAATTCTTTTAAATGGCTTATTGATTTTGGTGCTACAAGTAAAGTGGCATAAATATTTCATGTGTCTTGTGAAAATAAATTCATGGGACTTTGAAGAAGCAAATGTCAGTGTTTTGGGTGCTTTTGCATTCACAGTAAAAACATCATAAACTTCAAAGATGTCAGACATATGCTGCTTATTTAACCCCTTTGAGAGAAGAAAGGTCTTCATTTAAAATGATCTGAACTTTTGTGTAATTTTCCCTCTCTGAATAAATGAATTAAAGGTGACAGTATGGGGTTGGCTTGAAAATATGCATGTGAATAGTTTTCCTTCCTAAACTTGATGCTCCATTTATACCTGACAGCAGAATAAAGGTTGAGAAGCATCTTGAAAATTCCAGAATGGTGATGATGGTGATTATAGTAATAGGTAACATTTATTTGGCCCTTAGTGTCAGGCAATGTACCAAGCACTTTATATGCTCTATCTCATCTAATTATTCTAACTGCCCTGTGAAGTGTATCCTAATATCCCCATTTAATGGATGAAGTAGGACTTAGTAAGGTTAAGTAAACTACTTAAGATCTCAAAGCTAGGAAGCGGTTGGTTTTACCTGGGAATGGAACACAAGCCTGAGTTGGAGTCTGTGCATTTTGGGCAGAGAAACCTGTGAAAAATTTAGTAGGTTGGACTGGCTTCTGTTGGGCAGCTACCTTTATTAGCTTATGCAGTTGTATTATTTGTATTTGCTTTGTATAACTCCCTTCTTTCAATGGATTTGTATTATTAGGCCATTAGACATTTTTTTGAGTAGAATAATCTTCTATTCTTTGTAACTGCACAGCAATTAAACTTTTTAATTCATGACAGATACATAAAGAGTCTTGATACTTAATGAAGTCTTTGTCTGAAAGGAGATAGACAAAGATATCTGGTAGCTTCCATATAAAGTAGCAAAGGCTGGAGGCAGTGTCCTTCAGCACTACATCTGGAAATAGTGGGGTCCCCTTCCTCTTGTATTTCAGCATCCTCATGGCCTGAGTTCAGTGTAACTAGTGCGGTGAACTTTTCTGACATGCCTCCTTAAGGCAGGAGGAAAAAAACCTTTCCTCTACCCTCTTAAGTTCTGTTTCTAGGTCCTGTGAATTAAAATGACAACAATCCAGATTAATAGGAGAAAAAGACATGCAGATTTAATTGATGTTTTAAATTTTACCTGCATAGGGGCTACACATAAGTGAAAAAA